CTGTTGCGAATCGGTGGGACCAGAAGACCTGACCTGCGGAACGAGGGGGATGAACCCGGGCTACCATGCGACTATGAAAGTACAAACAACCAATACCCAGTAGCCCCGCGCCGACTACCAAGCCAAGGTGAACTAGACCAACTAGGAATTGTTCCCAAATAACTACGACACAAGTAATTAGCAAATATATTCGGTGGGACTGAGCCCTATTGCTACACTACCCGAACACAAGTGATAGTAAGTTTTATGTCGTAACCTACTTCTTGAATGGTGAATTAATGAGGAACAAAATAAGTGTTAGTAATGCGAGATAAAACTGACTCACGTCGGGTCGCCTTCCTCGACCCGCCGGTTGACCACAGAAAGAGATTTGGATTAGGAATAACATCAGACACTTGAATTCTAAGGGCTAACGCCCTGCGGGTCTGCCGAACGTAGACGATCAGGGGAAGTACCGTGAGCCGAACTTGGAACACCGGGCCGGGCCGTGATGGTGCTGTTGCGAACAGCCCGTGCGTTGCCGCACGATCACGGAAGATCAGGCTGGGTCATGTCGGCAGTACTCCGCAGGCACCGGCGCGCCCAGGGTTCCTTTGGAGCGATCGACGTGTTACGCGACACTCCCGCCGCAAAGGACCCCCTATGGGCTTCAGTCTCAGACCCCGTGCCTGAAGACCTTGCGCTCGGCATTTTACGAGAGCCCGTTAAGCCAAAAGAATATTATATTTTTGATAATAATGTGGTCTTGCGGCTAAAGTCTTAGTTGGTGATCCGAACTTCCTAACCCTACCATGTTAGTGAGTAAATAAATGACAACTAATATCTTAGCGGTTATCTGAACTACTAAAGCATCAATAAAACATCAATGGATAAAATGGATTAGTAAAACACCAATAACCACAACAAAGTAACAATGGGTTAGTAACAACATCAAAACCAAACTGAATTACTGAACTACTAATATCATAAATCACTCGACGTAAAGCACCAACGGAACCACACGACGAACCAAACGCACGCACGAACCTGAACTAAACGAAACTTAAACATGGAACAAAAGGAAAACAAAAAGGAAACTCAGGGGTTTGAATCCTGAGGAGTCGTAATTGATCGTCGTAAGGCATCGTCATTAGAACCCGGTGGAGACTCGTACGCGAGACCTGAACTAAGAAACATTAACAACAAAACAAAACAAAAACAAGAAAGTAAACTCAGGAGTTTTGGTCCCGAGATGAACTGAGTCGTAAAGCATCGACGGAAAGAGTACGACTTAGAGGCTCGTCCACCATAACGCCATAGAGTACCTGAACAATCGATATTAACATACCATCAAGCAACACTGCTTACCCTATGACTTCTCTCTTCGATATCCTCGTCGTAGACGTTGATCCCGTCGACCAAATGCAGACGACGCGTGGACTATTGAACTAGGACAGAAGAGGGTCGTAGTGAACTAGTAACTTATAGCTTGTTAGATTTTGTTGAACTATGAGACTTGAATAAGGAACTGTACTAATGAACTAGCCTATCCCTGCCTCACCAGGAGTCGTCACTGTTGGCTGGTGAGAACCCCATTTGACGAGCTAGGCCGGAGGAGGAAGGTTCCGGAGAACGCTCCCGCTCCGGGGGTGGCTGGTTAGAGGGCCCGGGGCGGTCGGCACCAGCGTCCCTCTCTCGTTCGCGATAAGGACGTTCGTACCGACGACGAGGAATTGCACCGCGGGGAGGGGGGCGGTAGGTTTGGACCCTGAGTTGGTCATAGAAGCCCTCAGGGGCCACGTTGAGGTCAAATATGGCGAAAGGATTTTGAACACAAAATGCCCGATGATGCCCCTCCTCGTAGCATACGCTACAAGGGTCCTTACGGATACATATGCCGTAGTGCAATTTTAGGCAGTTACAGCAAAGACCATCCCGGGAGGCCAACTCAGCCCTGTCACTGAGGTAAGGATAGACGTCGCAGTCTGAACTATAGTGACCTTCCTTGCGACAGAAGACGCAGGGTTCCACTCTCCCGTGCGCCTCAGAAGGTACTGATCGCCTCGGAAATCCGGGTCTCGAGCGAGATCTGGCATCGACCCGTTCTGGGGGTCTTCTAGATGGACTACGGCTTCGTGGTCTATGCTCTGGACTAGGTCGCGATCTCACTTTCGGAGGTTCTACGTCGCGGCTTGGACTATCTCTTCCGTGTCTCCTTTTGCCCAATCCTGCGGGCTCGTAGCTGGATCTCGCAGTAGAGGTGGACTGTCGTCCAGCCTGGGGGGGCACAGGAGTTGGAGCTTGGAATATGGGTGTTTCCTCTGGCCATGTAGTAGGTGGTGGCAGTTTCGGAACCTCGATGGATCTCAGAGGTCGCTGCGTTGTCCGCTGAACTACTGGGCGCCCTTGATCGCGGGCCTGTTCCTGGAGACGTCTGTCTACCGTAGATGTCTGCAGGTACTGGTCCGTGGCTCTTATCATCAAGGCGTCTGAATAATTATCGCGCCACCATCGCAGGGTCTGGATATAAGACTCCGGTTCTTCGGGCCATGGAGGCGGCATGTGGAACTTGTGAACTAAGACGATAATCTTCATCTTCCTGGGTGACTCGCACTCTTCTTCGGTTCATGAAGTGAACCATCTGGTGCGCTTCTAGGACACGTATCATGCGAGTTGAATGGGCCATGACTGCTGAACTATGCTGGAGAATCTCCGTGAAGGTTTCTTCCGTGATTCCGAATAGCTGCAAAGTGGCTCTGAAGTAATCCTGTTCCTGAGACCATTGGAATAGTCTCGGCAACATCAATTCTTGAAGTAGGTCCCGATTGACCGTGATGGCTGTATTACTGTGGGTTAACTGGTGAATCCAACCCATAAGGTGGGTGTACCTTATATCTAGGGGTTGTCTTCTCACTAGGATTACTGCCAAGTTATGGAATGATTGAGTGGTGTGCTCAACCAGCTCCAATAACGTCTGGAGAATATGAACTATTCTGGCAACCGCTTCAAAGTCCGAGGGTCGTGCTGGAGTAGTTTCCTTGTCCGGTATCTTAATTGCTCGGACGCGGTCTCTCAAAATGTTATTTGTAGTAATGTAATCGAACACCGTTCGAAATTGGTGTGCGGTTAGCTCCTCCACGGTATAAGGCTCTAACTTT